ATCACCGAGTGCTGTCCGCAACTGCTTCAAGTGGACCTGTGAGAGGCTGTCATTCTTGCCGAGTTCGGAGCAGACGTCGAGGAGCACCTCGTAGCGGATCCACACAGCAGGAATGTCTGGTCCGTACCAGCAGCACGTCGCGAGTCGTGGATCGTCAAGAAAGAGAGAGTGAAGTAGGAAGTTGGATGAATCCGCATTCTCGCTGGCCAGTTGTTGTTGGAAGAGCATTGGTTGCGAGACGAGGTGTTTGGTGGCGGGGGCGGTGGTGGGAGTGGAGTGGGTCCGTGGGAAGACGACGAGCCAGTTTGAGACGGGGAGTTGGGGGACGATTTGGTCCAGAGCTCCACGAACCAACGCGACGGTGTCGTGGAAGCAGTTGAATGCCATGAGAGTTTGGCTCCTGTGCGTCTCCAATCTCACTTCAATTGTCTACAACAAATGACACCACGCATGGATTATTTGCCAGTTTACCAGTTGGCAGAATCAGTGGCAGTCTTCAAATTTTCGTAAATTTTTGGGGTGTTTTGAATCAACTGAATCTACAACATCCGAGACGAAATTTGTGGCCGCTCTGAAGAAGAAGCATGCGCTGTAACCCTTGGAGAACTAACCTGGGCCTCATTTTGCATAAACCGTATTTGGACATTCCAGTTGGACAGAAAAATTTGGCGGATTTGCAATTTTTCATGCTGGAGTCTAGAGCCAGAAAGACATTAAATGCTATAAAAAAAAGAAGATTATGATAAAATTAAGAGATTTCGATGTGATTTGGGTTTACATTTCGACACTCAAGACATTAGCTCTAAGTAAGTGTGCTTGCCGCTACCGATTCCCAAGTTGTGTTCATTTTTTTAAATCCGCAGGAATATGCATTTTCAACACGCTATCCTCAAATGCAACAGTTTGTGAACATGGGCACTGTTTATAGCATTGATCATCAATAAAATCAGATTATGCACTTACTAAGAGCTCTTTTTGCCATATTTTATGATGTAACTTTGGCTATTACTATTCTATTGTTTCCAATTCTATTTAAGAAAAGGGTTTGATTGGAATATTTTGCCAACTAGAATATCCGAGCCAGAACAGCATTGTGAATCAAAAAATTCTGCGTTTTACTGGGTAGTGAATAGGATAGTGCAGTTGAAATTGTTGTCATTTTCTGAATGGATGTTATAAGATTATCACAGTAATAAAGGTGAGAGAATTGATTCAACTAAAAAACTCCACAAAACACTGATATTCAGCCTCAAATATTGTCCTAACAATAACAGCGTGACCAGATGTTTGTGAAACACATGAAGCTGAAGTAAATCAGTCCATTTTGTTAATATTCTGCGAACAAAATCCGGCCATTTAGCGCTCAGTTACTTAAACTGGCAGGATCGTTATATATGTAGAGCGCTTCCAATTAATCGTTTCCTCTGGTCAAATGAACATCTAGCGCGCATCAAGTCAAAAGCACAGACTTGACACGGCATTATTACTGATGCCTGAGTCCCATTTCGAATTAACTGTGGAATAACTGAGCTCCAGTCTGAACAAAAACTGGTGCAATGAACAAGGTTAAAAGGACCAATTACAAGCCAGGAGCTTACAGCAGCCACCGTCCATTCGAATCCACCATGCTGGCTGAGAAGCTTTTTAAATGTTAAATGTATCGGGCCCCAGCATGTGGTCTTGAACCACACCGTGGCCACAGAATTAACCCTGGCCCGATTACGTTACCCCATATACGCGAAAAAAGAAAAAGAGCGAAGAGGACGTGGACACGACAGTTTACTTCAGAGCTCAACCGCGTTGACGTCGTTGTGTCGTGTGTATTTAAACCTCAGGTGTATCATATATACGCTACCATCGAGATCTAAGTGTGAGGATAACCCAAATATTCGTGTGAATGGGGGGGGGGGAGTTAAATATCCACGCGGCTGGCGACACGCTGCAAAAAAGTTAAGGCTGTGTCGAAGGTGGAGCGACCAGATTAGGGACTGTGAATAAACACTGTTCACAACATATTTCTCTTGCGTGTCTCACTTTTTGGCTGCATGACTTACTATTGTGCCATTCAAAAGCAATGAAACATGAAATAAACTAAAAGCAACCTGGTCCAATACGTCTCTAGTCGCATACGTCGCTACAGCAGAATACTTGTGCCCGAGGGTGAAAAAGACTGGAGCAACAGATCACGCCTTATTCACTAATCACAAAAGACAAAGTATTGGCTGAGGCCAATAGGGTTCAACATGTCTGCGCCCCAATACGTCGCCGTGTAGGTTTCGGCCCCATGGTATAGTGAGGAAGAGAATGAGACAAAATGATTTTCTTTAATAAAGGATGAAACTCGCGAC